CCCCCTTTCTCTCCCTCCCTCCCTCTCCCCAACAGAGCTGGAGACAAACTCCGACTATGCCAGGATGTTATCGGAAACAGACAGAGCGGCCAGGTCTTCCCGCGGCTCTAACGACCCTTCTGTGACGTCATCGAGAAGCTCGGGCGGGGCAGAAGGACAACAGCAACAGCAACAGCAACAGCAGGGCCCAGAGACCGAGGATTTCGTCAACAAAGTCTGCAAATTCGAGATGATTTCCAGAACAAAATCCGGCTCTTCTTCTGCCACGTCGGCGAAAAGTCCGACCTCGAAAACGAGCCCGGGGAAATCTTCCACCGCCAAATCCCCGTCCAGCTCCTCGCTGTCCTCCCAGACGGGCTTTTCGGACAAAACGAACAGCATGGCTAGTAGTGGTAGTGGTGGTAGCAGCAGTAACAACAACAACAACAACAGCAGCAGCAACAACAACAGCCCTGTTTCTCCGTTCGGCGGCCCACAGTCCCCTACCGCCGGGTTTGTGGGTGAGAAGGTGTTCACTCGGGACACGGCCACAACGAGGGTGTCTGCGAGCCTTCTGCAGGGTTTGAACTCTGACCGCGTGGCCAGTACGGCCAGCTCTAATTCTCTGACCAGCGTGAGTACTCTCAGCTGGACGTCCGACGCCTCGGACAGTTCCGGTGGCGCGACCAGCTCACGGGGTCACAGCGGGGTCAAGAGGTCACCGCACAACAGTAGTTGTTCCGGGGCGGGGCTCTCGGCGGAGGATGAAGACACGCCCACCCCCGTGGCTAGTCCCCGCCCCCTTGCTGGGAGCGTGATTCAGGGCAGGGGGAGCAAGCGAGGCGGGGTGATCGATTTGAGCTCCTCTTCTTCTTCTTCTGCTTCCCCCTCCTCGTCGGCTGCTGCCTTCACATTCCCTCATCAACAGCAGCATCAGCATCACCAACCAGCGCCGGTCACCAGAAAGTTTGTGACTCTCTCTTCCCCCGACAACGATAACCCACCCCTTCCTGTTGTCACGCCCCTCCCCAACCCGACCAACTCTCTCCGCTTTGTCGTGTCTCCCAACGGTCGCGGGGGCAGCAGCGGCGACAGACACACCGACCCCACTTCGCCCTCGGATAAAGACACCCACCACCAGCCCTCGCCAACATCCTCGGTGAGTAGCAGCAGCAGTAGTAGCAGTTTCGCTGCCGGTGTCGCTTCTTCACACGAGACCAACACTGCTGCTTCTGCTCACCCGACACACAGGAACACTTTCGAGGGCATCGATTTCGACTTCAACGATCTGACCGCTCCGGAAAAGGAGCTCGCTCTCAAGCACAGAGAGATCGTGGCGGAGAGAAAGAAGGAGCAGGAGAGAGAGAAGCAGGACAGACAGCGACTGGAGGAGATTCTCAAAATGTGTGAGGATTACCAGAACGAGATCAGCACCGAGCTGACCTCTACCCCAGGGGGTGGGCCCCCTACCCTCTCTTCCAACACGTATGGATTTACCTCGGCTCAACACAAACCAAAAATCTCCCCCCACCCCAACCACCTCCAACAACACCTCCCACAGAACGTACAACAACAACAACAACAACAACAGCAACAACTACAGAACGCGTACGCCAAGAGAAGTCAGCCCCCCGGCGTGTTAGACGTGAGCAGAGACCGCGCGAACTCGCCATCATCATCATTATCGTCAACCCCTTCCTCCTCCGACAGACGAGAGAGAGCGGGGAACATGACCAAAATCAAGACCAACGGCTCCCTCATGCTCAACTCACCCACCAACTCCCACAAAGAGTTTGCCAGCTTCCCCATACCGCAGGCGACAGCAACAGCAACAGCAACGACAGCTACTGCTGCTACAACTGCAGCTTCTACCAGCGGACAGGCGAAAGGAGAGACGTCTTCGGCGTATTCTTCCAACTCGGAGGACGAGACAGTGGGCACGAGCGAGGACACGGGGACCATCAAGAAAAGACCGAGCCCTGGCGAGGGCCCCGCCAGCCCTTTCCGAGAGCAACAACAACAACAGCAACAACAACAACAGCAACAAGAGCTGTTTCAAGACACGAGTTCAGGAAAACCCGACGGTCCCAATTTGAGAAAACCCGCTCCGGTGTCTTCGTCATCATCATCGTGGGGAAAACCCGGATCCGGAGCCGCCTTGTTCCAGGACTCGATCTCGGTCTCGGCCAGCGTGGACCCCGAGTCCAACACGGTGAGCGTGTCGGACGACTACACCGAGTCCGTCACCATGGCGACGCTATCCGCCGAGGCCGATCCCGATTCTGATCCCATCTACGACGACGTGCACACGTCGAGCCCGACCCCCGCCACCCCCACCCTCCTGTCCCCCGTGAGCGGCGTGGTGGTCCCTCACGACCCCCGACTCGGCCAGAGGGCAGTGCGGTCACCTCTACTCTGGACCGGAAAATTCACGAATTGGAAGAATCGCTCAGCTCGGTGAACCACAATGTTCACCACCACAACGGATTTTTTTCGTCCTCCTCCTACACCGATCCCAACCGGGAATCGAGTCCGGAAGTAGTAGTAGACTCGGTTGGAGGCGGTGGCGCCGGATCCGAGCATCGAGTGGTCACCGAATCCGGAAGCACCCGAGGCTCGAGAACGTCCTCTTCTAGCTCCTCATCCACTGCCGCCGCATTCCGCTCGGAAGATTCTTCCTCCTCCTCCTCCCTCCTCACCGGTAGAGAAACCCTCTCCTCCTCCACCTCCTCCAGCTCGACCCTGCGAGGAGGAGGATATGGAGGAGGAAGCAAGACCGATCACTCCTCCCCTACCCCCTCTTTCTCCTCCTCCTCCTCCTCCCATTCCTCCTCCGCTGTGATTGTTGGGGGCGGCGGCGGGGGCAGAGGTGGCGGCGAGCTCTTGAAAGAGGACACGCCCACTCCGGTCAACAGCGACTCGGAGCAAGGGGAAGCTACAACAACTACAACATCAACCAACAGCAACAACAACAACAACGGTGTTTTCGCGGCTGGCTTGTCTCCCCTACTTTCGACTTCCGCCGGGGCGGAGATGGGCGTGGCTTCGGGAGGACCTCTTACGCAGAAGGAGGTGAGGAAATGAAAAAAAATTAATTAATAAACGCTAATTGTTTGTTTTGTTTTGTTTGTTTGTTGTTGTTTGTCTGTTATTGGTTTGGTTTGGGGTTTTTTGTTTTGTTATGTTGTTGTTGTTGTTGTTTGGGGGGAGGGGTTTTCCTTTTAAGAAATATAAATAATTGGCGCTTTTTAGAGTTACCTTCAACAGTGATTACTGTCAGGAACCGATGACGTCTGGCGGGTGCTCTGGTGTGGTTTGCTCCTTCTTTCCTGTCAAACATCTATCGTCCTTATCTCTATTTCTTTTGTGGGTGGTTGGTGGGTGCTCTGGTGTGGTTTGCTCCTTCTTTCCTGTCAAACATCTATCGTCCTTATCTCTATTTCTTTTGTGGGTGGTTGGTGGGTGCTCTGGTGTGGTTTGCTCCTTCTTTCCTGTCAAACATCTATC